CCTTGCTGAATACAAAAAAATAAAAATGTACTGACCCCAAACTTTTGAATAATAGTGTATATTGTTACAAAAGATTTTGAATAAATGCTGTTCTTATAAAAATAAAAAAAATCAGCTTTGCCATCAGTAATAAATTGGATTTTAAAGTATACTGAAACAAAACAAAACGGTATATATATATATACAAACACACTTTTATCAAAATACAGTACTATTGTGAAATATTATCACAATTTAAAAAGGAAATAAATATATATATAAATATAAATATATATTTGACAAAGCTGAATTTTCAATCGTCATTACTTCAGTTTTCAGCGTCACATGATCCATCAAAAATAATTTTAAAATGCTGATTTGGTGCTCAAGGGACATTTCTTATTATTATCAATGTTCATAATAATAATATCATCAGTCAAACAGTTGTCCTGATTATTATTTGAAACTAAGATACATTTGAAACCATTATAAATTTTTTCAGGACTATTTGTGACCCTAGACCACAAAACCAGTCGTCAAGGGTTTGAGATTGATACATAATCCGAAAGCTGAATAAATAAGCTTTCCATTGATGTATGGTTTGTTACCATAGGACAATATTTGCCCGAGATACAACTATCTGAAAATCTGGAATCTGAGAGTGCAAAAAAAAAAATCCAAATATTGATCAAATTTTGACCCATAAAATATATTGTTGGCTATTGCTACAAATATACCCGTGCAAAAACATTTTTTAGATTGCAATATTTCACAATATTACTGTTTTTTTCTGTATCTTTGATCAAGTAAATTTAGCCTTGATGAGCATAAGAAACTTTAAAAAACATTACAAAATGTACTGATCCCAAACCTTTAAACGGCATTGTGTGCATATATATATATATATTTCTTTTTAATTATTTTATTTTTTATTTAAAATTCATACATGTGTTCATTTATACCTCTGGGTAATGAACATACAGTGCCTTGCGAAAGTATTCAAACCCCTTCATTTTTTCACATTTTGTTATGTTGCAGCCTTATGTTATACTGCTTTCAATGACTTTTTTATTCCACATTAATCTACACTCCATACACCATAATGAC